CCCTTTCCAGATCCACTAAGGGCAGCTTTGGGTTTTGCTCTGACCAGTTGAGTCAAGTTTTTTATAGTGGCAGACACTGCAATTGCACTAATGAGGCACACAGCAGGTGTAGCAACGAGAATTAGTCGAACCATGACTCCAGCAAAGTACATGCTAGTGAGACCATACATCACTATAAAAATTGTGGCATCCGACAATCGTTTGAAGCAGAAATAAAGACCAGCAGGGAAGAGTAAAAGTAATATGTGGAAATCAAACATAAAAGAAGACCATGCGGTAGGCTGATGTTCAGATACAGATGCAATTATGGGTATGTGATCTTTTGCATAGGTTGGATCGAGGAGAGAGTAAAACCGGCCAGTCCATGGGGAGATGTATCCAGAAGCAGTTCCCACTCCAAGTGCAATGGCACCCAAACCTACTGTAGTAGTCACTGTAATTCTCAGGAAAGCTTGAAACAACTTTTGATCATTCAATTGGTGCTTCACCCAATCCAAAAAGTAAAACACCTGCACTCAATAATAGATTTGTGATGAAAATATAGAACTAGTGGAAAAGATGACAAATGATAGAAAAGAAACATTAAGAGTCTTTGCACTATAAGGGTATGTTTGGATCCTGGAAAATGATTGGTGAAAGTAAAAAAAATGCTAACAGGATATTTTCTTTTGTTTTAAATTATCTTAGAAAATTCCAAGAAAAATGAATTATATTTGGTTTTTTTGAAAATCTTAACAAAAAAGGAGTATTTAAAATTCTTTTTGTCTTGAAACAATAGAAAAAAAAATTAAATAAAATGTTTTTTCAGATTTTGAACTAAAAATCTAAAATAAATGTATTGAGTTTGAAGTTTGAACCCATCATTTATTTTCTCTGAAATTGTTTCGTTCCAAATATCTTTTCTGTTTTCCTTGTATTTCCTGTGTCCAAAACATAACCTAAAAAATATTCAAGGACCCCAAAATATGCTACGAAAAGGGGGAAAACCAAAGAAAAGCAATTTCCTTTCCTTTTATTTTCTTGGAGAAGGATTTTTTTACTAATGTTTGCAATTTACATTCTTTATACAAAAATAGGAATAAATAAATAAATGACTTTGAACAAACATAAGAAACCCTCCATAATTAAATTGAGTTTAAACCTATATCTTGTTTTAAATCACATTTTCTATTTCACATATATAGAACCACCAAAACCAAAAATATTAAGCACATAATCAACAACTCATATACTTTTAAGTAATAAAATTCTCAAGAAAACTGGGATGAAAAATTCATACCTGCATCAAGAAAAACACTCCCATTGCAGCCATATGCTCACCAGACTGTACATGCTGAAAACCCACAAAACGAATCTGCATTGCTAGCAACATTCCTAAAATGTACATGCAATTGTAAGCTACATAGAGCCTCATTGAGTATCTTCCAGTAATCAAGAGAACCAATACATAGAGTGGGACTAAATTAATGATGAAGACATAGCCACCCCAAGCTGAGACCATGTAGAAGTACCCAAAAGCTGAGGCGATAGACCAAGCAAGAGAACCTGTATTCACCGCCTTGACAAATAAATAGAAAGTAAGCAAAAGGGCAAAAATGGCGACCCCCTCATTATCATATGACCCAGCAACAGACCGCGAGATGTAGCCTGGACAAATAGCAATTAATGCTGCAGCCACAAGTCCAGCACCAGAATCCCATAACTCTTTCCCAAAGAAGTATGCCACGATAGTGGTGTTGGAGGCAAAGAATGGTGCAAGCAGCACACAAACCTCGCGAATGTGAACTGCAAACCTGCATAAATTCATCAATTTTTAAAATTGTATCTTTGATATAATATAAGCCATAGATTGTGGCACAATATTCGTTCTACCATTAAATCATTTACCAGTCAGTCCAGGAAATTTTGTACCCAACTAAAGATTTCAGATCATGATCTCCATTGCACTTCGGAAGGTTTCCACCTAAGTTCTACCCAAGTCGTGAAGCCTACATCACAATTTGTGCCAGCCCATGCCAAATTTTGTATGGCCCCTACCTTTATTCCCATGGGATATACTGGTTTGTTTGGTTCGGTTTACATTCAAAGAATAACCAACCTACTATGAAATATAGTGTTGAAAGCATGTGCATTTGATCAACAAACCCCCTAGAAGGAAAAAGTTCCCACCTTTTTCATACACAACGAGAATTAAAAAGAAAATAAATGCCAGATCAGATTTTTAAATTCATGAAAACACCATTAAAGTTCATACACGCTACAAAGTTCACACTTTTTTAATGCCTGTGATTTCTTGTTAAATGAAGAACAATAAGACATGCCAATAGATACTGAAAACACCATATTCCTTCTTCCCTGTAATTTCCAAACGTTACAAAAAGCTTAATATGAGACTTTTCATAAAGTAGATCCGAGAATAAAAATTACATCATGGGAAAATGAGTCTATGCCAAATGTAAGCAAATGACACCAAGACCTCTCCTTGGATCATTTCTGAAGTGGTTGGGAATCAGATACCTTATCCATGCAGATGTTATATACTCAGTATAAAGTTAAGAGACCAATGAATTTCTCAGCACATAAGAGCGAAACAAATCATAACAAGTTGAAACATTTTCTGCAGAAGACATCAATACCTGAGGAACCTAATGGTCCAGTAGAGGAGGGCAGCGGTGACCATGAGACCCGGGTAAAGAGTGCCGCCGATGATACGGCCGAGCGGATACCAACTCTCCGAATCAAACCAGTTCCAGAACTCGTAGAATCCCTTCTCCGTGAGGAAGAGGGTGACCCGGTAATTGAAGTACGGATCGAATTCGTGGATCATGCTCTCGTACCTCAACACGCTGAAGAGCCGCGTGATGAATGCCAGGACGTACACCAAGCACAGGATCGTCACCCGAAGGAGCAACTCCTGCTGCTTCGTCTTCAGCTTCAGTGACTTCAAGGCCGATTGCAGAGTCACCGTCAACGGCGGCGCCGGTAGATCCATTGCCGCCGTTCCTTTTGCCTCTTTTGACACCATTTAGATCGGGGGGATCAATTCCTGAAAATGGAAATCCTGAGGCTGATGATTCTGTGCTCCGTACTATTCAGCTACTGTGAACCAGTGGAGAAACCCACGTTAAAATCGTTGAAAGGAGCCTACAGAGGATGAGAGGAATGGACATTATTCCTCACCGGATAGACAAGGGTGAAGGGCAAACCCGTCTTTGGACCACGGGTGAGCTTAATCTAAAATTTTAATTTTGAACGGAATGCGGCCTAACTTGGCTTGTTCTCTTTGTCGCCAAATGATTTGGATCTAATTGGAATAAGTTTCAATTTGAATATAGTTATATTTAAAGTGAAGTTTCATCTTGTCTGATCTAAACCCCTAACTAGTTCCAATAAGAAATATAATAAGTAATAAGAATAAGTTGAAAAGAACAGACTTTTAGCCTCGAGATAGAAGTATCTTTAAAAATGAGGACATGACAAGATGAGTTTGATTCGTGTCAACTGTGCTGAAAGATAACTATCTTAAATATATAATATTTGCAAGTGTAAGTTGCATGTTCCACTACTTACCATCAATTTACAATCAGACTTTAATTTACCTCCTCTTTGTGACCGTCCGGTCAGATCTGAGGAACTCTCGGGGATGAGATTCACTTTTTTTCTTTTTGAAAATAGAGGCGTGGCGAAGCGGTTCTTTTAAAAAAACTCTTTTGTTTCAGTCCCTGAGTATTAAAACAATTATATCGTTCAATATATGTAATTATTCATATTTGTATGGACGGTCCTTGTGACCGTCTAAAAATACTCTTTTCGTCCCTGAGTAAGTATCCAGTTTTAAATTTTTAAATCAATTGTTTTCAACCTTTGACTTATAATTAAATAAAATATATATTGTATATTAATTAGATAAAATAATATTTTGAAAATATTTGATATAATAAATTTAATAAAACTATTTTTTTATCAATATCTAATATCATTTTTATTTAATTTGAAGTCAAAATTTACCAATTTTGACTGAAAAAATTAAAAGTAAATAAATACTCAGGAACGGAGGGAGTACTAAATCATTTTTGGGGGAGTTGAGGAAGAAAATCAACATGACATCATCCAAAATGACAGGCATTAATAAAGGGGTTCTTCCATTTACCTATTTGGGAGTGCCCATCAGCACGGCAAGACTTTAAAATCTGAGCGTAAGATTCTCATTAATAAATTGGCACGCAAAATTTCTACATAGAGTTCAAGCATATATCCTAAGCTGGTAGGGTGAAACTTGTTAACTTAGTAATGTTTGTTATTTTCAATTTTTGGGCTAAAATATTTATTATTCCCAAGTCTATTGTGCATCACGTGAATAGTATCTGTAGGAATTTTCTTTGGACTAGGGCAATCAGAGTACTCCAAAGCCCCCCTATTAGCTGGAAAGATAATTGTTTACCCCTTAACAAGGGAGGACCTGGTATTAAAAATTTGATGGCATGGAACAAAGTATGTGTGATGAAGCTCAATTGTAATATATCAAGTACTCCCTCCGTCCCGGAGTATTCGTCCAGTTTTGACTTTTGAAACTATTCATCCAAGCACTTTGACTCATCAAATTCTCTCAATGTGTAAGCCTAAATATAGTCATGTGTGATCTTGTTTAATTTGTCTTAACATATAGATTATTAATATATAATTTCTATAATTTTTTAATATACAAATTACAAGACAAAATGGATTAAAGAAGTGTATTGGATGGTGTGTAAAAATGAAAGTGGACAAATACTCTGGGACGGAGGTAGTAAAAAAGATCTAATGTGGGTAAGATGGGTCCACGCGAAGTATTTTAAAGACTCTGACTTTTGGGCTTACACCCCAAAGAGGGACGACCCATATTACTGGAAGATGATGAACGAGGTAAAAGAACAATTTAGAGGCTATACGACTGGGGATGTTTACATGGTGAAGAAGTGATATCTCTGCCTATTGGCTTATGGACATAATATTGACTAGCATAGATGGGTGTGGTGCAAATTGTCCCATCCTAAACACCACTTCATCATGTGGCTGGTCAAACATCGAAGACTACTAATTTGAAGCAGACTCAAAGCCTTTGTTAACATCCCAACAGATTGCGAAATATGTGGGGGAGAAGCAGAAACTTTTGAACACATGTTTTGGGCCTGGAGGGTCTCAATTGAGGTCCGAGAAAGGGCCTTCCAGCGGTTGGGGATTTACTGCAAAGTGAACTCCCTAGACAACATGGAAGTGGAGTTACTAAGGACGAGGAACAAGAAATCAAAGACGCTAACGCAAGCTTTGGGTGCAGCCATCTGCTCCAATGTATGGAGACTAAGGAACACACTGGTTCACAAGAAGAAAGTTGATGTAGAGGGATGTGTGAAGAATATTTTGTGGTATGTAAAAGCATTTACTTTTCCAAAAATAAAGGGGAAAGCGAAATAGCGTTTTGATTGTAATTTGTACAGATACTTCGTGATTTTAATGGAAGTGTGCATTTTGTATAAAAAAGATATACTACCTCAAACATAGGCAAGAATGAAATCTTTTTTTGATTGAAAAATAGAGTTTTCTTACATAATTATTCGAATGGTACCATTTATTCTTGTCCGTCAACGAAACATGGCTACGTATATGACGTATATAAGGTATATAAGATATATAAGAAGATCTGATATCCCTTGTGGCCATTTAATTAAGTGTTTTTAACGTTTTAATTTTTCTAACATTTTCAACTCCTCGATATTTTTTTTCAATTCATTCATACTTTTTTCCCATATTTTGAAATTCGAATCGGACCGGCCAGTCTAGTCGGCTGGACCGCGACCCAACAACTTGTCCGGTCTAGTTCAATCTTAAACTCATTTTTATAAAAATCCAGAAAAATTCTCAATGACTCACTCAGCCTAGATTGACCCGTCCAGTTCGTGAGTCTGAAGCTTTACCTGTTTTCTATTTAAACATTGAGGAGTAATTATTAGAAATGCAAACCTTTTTTATGATTAATTAAACAAAAAAAAGTTTTTTTATGTAAATACATATATGAATAATTTATCTGAAAAATTATTGTCATCCTTAAAATTCAAGTAATACTCCGTATTTATTAATTATAAATAAATATACTACGATTTCTTCTTATTTTTATTTTTCTCATTTTAATCAACTGAATACAAGTATGAAATGGTAAATAATACAGAGTATAGTTATAGATTAGTTGACCCAGTTTGACCGATTGATCCTGTACTTGCCACGCCGATTCGATGTCCAATCTGATTTTCAAGACATTATTTCTTTGGATAAAGCTACTTGTACCCCAAATTTGTGTACCCCATTTGTACACCGCAGGTTTGCACCGACATTTTGTGTCAATGTAAAACTAATTTTTATTAATGCACCAACACTTTGTGTCCGTGTAAATTTTTGTTAACGCACCAACGCTTGTGTCGGTGTAAACCATCAAAATGTTTGTGAATAACTGCGGTGTACAAATGAGGTATAAATTTTGGTGTAAGTGTAGCATGGTCCTATTTCTTTTTCTAATTGTTTCTAGAGTAATTTACCTAAATAGGACTAAAACATAATGACTTTTCCAATATAGGACCATATGTTTTTATTTCTGAATGTAGGACTTTTGGTCATTATCAAGTAGTCATTATTCAAGTAAATGTTCATCATTACTGGACATTATTCCTCCCATAAGATCATTATTAAGTTCTACTTAGGGAATAAAAAAGTTTAAATCCTACATTAGAAAAATTATTATATTTTAGTTCTATTAAATCCACTTGTTTCTAATCTTTTCGACGTCTAACTTTGAAATTTAAAAAAAAAACATTCCCTAGAGTAGAATAGGCTTATAAAGGACTTTTCCTTCTCTAGAGGTACCCCAAACATTTTCTAAAAGAAAAATGCTAGGGGTACACCAAAGGTGTACCCCATTTGTCCCCCACCCCTCCATTACCACAAAAATGGGCAAAAAGTTTAAAAAAAATTAAATAAATAAAAAATAGATAAAAATGAATGGTAGAGAAGGGGTTGAGGGACAATTAAACTAATTTCTCTGTTTAGCTATCAGCAGGGGCTCCACAGACGGCCCGGCCCGTTTGGAGGCAAACCAACTGGAGAGGGAGCGAGTTAGAGCGCAGGAGAATCAAAGAAAAGGATGCCGTGGCACGCCGGATTTCCGATCGGAAAGGGCGTCGCCGCCTCATTTATCCTCACAATCATTGTGTTCTCCCCCTCACTGATCGCCACTGTGGAATCATCCAAAAAGCATCAGGTAATTGACTGAGTCATAATGCTCTAGAAAAACGGTATGCGCTAAAACATTCATGAAGCATAGATTGCTTTTTTCTGTAAGAATTTCTGACAATTCCCATCCTTGATGCGAATGACAGATTGGATGCAGCAGAACGTGTGTTGCGGAAAATTGTAACTGTATTTCTCCATCCCCTTCTGCTTCTTTCTGGTTCTATTCATTAAGTTTTTTTTTGTATGTATTACTTTTTTTGAATGATCAAATATGACAAAAACAAAAACAACCCAATATAATCCCAACTTTATTTCTGTTGCTTAGATGCATTTCTTCATTTTCTGCCCAAAGATTCATAGAAATCGAGAAGCAATGGAAGTTTAATTTGCCATTTTGGTTTAGTCAATAATGCCTAAAACTGAAACATGGTCAATAATGACTCTTTTAGCTCCGTCTGCAATGGACGTTGTACTAATTTTTTTTCTCATTTTGTTGGATGAATTATGTTACAGCGATTGGAATTAAATATGGGAAGTATTGTGGAGTAGGTTGGACTGGCTGTCCCGGGGAGAAACCTTGCGACGATCTTGATGCCTGTTGCAAAATTCACGATGACTGTGTGGAGAAAGACGGTATGCTTTCCAAATCTTTGTGGCAATCTATTTTTGAATTTGCTACATTTACAAATACTCCTTTTGTTTCAGGATACTCTTCACACTTTTCTTTGTGAGATGCTTGTTCATAGTATTATTATTTTGGAGAGGCCGTACTTGATAAAATACCCATTTCAACTAGAACGACAACAACATTATCCCAGTGCCTCAAAGGCTCTCGCCCCTATGTTAAAAACATCGAGCGGCTGTTGCGTAGAGAGTTGCATTGACTAATTGCTATTTCACTAGTAAAAGAAGCGCACGGTTCAATGAGTCATTTTGCTTTACTCCATCATACGCCAAAGCCAAAAAGTAGTGAATCTTTGGCTTATCGGAGATATGGAAATGATAAAATACCCCCTTCATTCCAAAATAAATTTCACACATTCCTTTTGTAGTTGTCCCAAAATAAGCATTACACTTCTCCTTTTTTTGTATTTAGGAATGATATATGTTGCTCAAAATCTTTCTCTCCTCTAATTAAATTTCAATCAGTTATCTTTATCTTTACCTTTTGACCTCTCTTTTCTTTCTATATTGATAATCATTATTACTCTGAAGTCTTACTCTACATGCCCAATGAAAGAGTAAACACTTATAATGGAATGGGGAGGGTAGCTATGCTTGAAACCTAAAATATATTACTAGTTTTTATAAACACTCCTTTCAAGGGAGTGAGGAAGTATTGTTTTTATAAAAAGAACTGTTTAGACATTACTAGTTTTCTAAATTATTATACTTATTTTGAGGATGGATGTCCTAATGTCTAGTTTTACTCTGCGCCTCCTTTTATACTCTGTAACATACATGACGGTGCCGGTACCATTAATTCCGTACTGCATTAAATTTACCTTCTTTTTTGGGTGCATGCCTTCAAATTAACTTTGTTTTTTATCTCAAATTTTAAATTTTATTGTCAAAATTAATGCTCTTAACTGTGCCATCAGGTTTGACAAATGTAAAATGCCATGAGAAGTTCAAGAAGTGCATAAAGAGAGTGCAGAAGTCCGGAAAGGTCGGATTTTCAAGGGACTGCCCTTATGACACAGCGGTGCCAACTATGGTACAAGGTATGGACATGGCCATTCTGTTTAGCCAGTTGGGCAACTCTAAGGCTGAGCTTTGATTAGCTTTCTCCTCACACTCATTAGACCATGGCCGTAGATGGATATATTTTGTATACCAATTATTTTCCTTGCCATTTCAGGGCGTTTTTTGTCGGGGTCTCTTGAACACACTGTTTACACACACCCTCCCCAAACCCTACTTTTTATAGGATTTTAATGAGTTTGTTGTTATTATTGCCTTCAAGGCTCATTTTTTAATTTCATTTTATTTTGATGACTTTAATCTGAATTCTTGTCTGCAATTGCCCATTTCAGCTTCGAAACTTCCAAACAAAGCCTTGTCTGGTCTGGTTTTCGAGTCCTGAATGTATTGGGTCAGGTTATGTTTGGTAAACGGCAGCATTTTATATTTGCAGTTGGAATGTTTGCTAATTTAGTAGAATGCTAAAAGTTTCACAAAAATCATAATAAAAATGATTTTTTTACTAAACATCTCAATTACAGTAGTATTTTGATGAGTCCAACATGCTTTCTTGGTCAAAGCTGCTAAGCAGGAGCATGTTTGCTCGACGACATGTTTACAGTCACCAATGTTTTTAACCTTTAAATTCACTATGCAAGAATTTCTAAAGGTTATCTGCAATAAATCTTCGTGATATAATAATAATTGCGGAATAATATTAGAACAGGCAAAAGGGAAATGCTGAATTTGAATAGAATGAGTAATGAAATTGAAAATAGAGGAAAAAAAAGTTTACCTGTCTTAACCGGGTTTGAGTTTGAAGCTTTTCGTAGTGAGATTATGTCATTACTTTACAAGAATAGTTTTAATGTATTAATCGGTGTGATTTGTTACAAAGGTTAAGTGGAAGAATGTTATATGGGTGAGAGGATTTCTCTGAACTGCATAAACAAATCTCCGAGCACTTTTATTGCTTGCATATAATACTACTTGTGTGTAACTATGAAGATGTAGCACCTTGTCTATCATTTAGTTTTAGGACTACAACATCATCACGATTGTACTTTGTTTGTTTGATCGATCTGTTGGCAAAGTCTATTTTAATTGGATACCCTCGCTACACTCTGGGTCTTTCAATGGTTATACACTCCCCACTTCCAGAGGGAAAAAAGGCTTTCAGATTAGCAAAACCTTCAACAAAAGCCCTTCGCACACTAAACGTGCGTACTTGACCGGAGGACTATCCACGGGTGCCGAAATATGAGGAATTCATGGATGGGGAATAGAGTAGGGGAAGTAGGCGAAAGGGAAAACATACATGTGGCTTAAGTAAAGTACGAGACATTTGTTGTCAAGGTCACACCATAAACCAGATGAAAAAAAGTTGGTTAAAGCATTGTTATGCCAAGAAACATGTACAACTTGTAAGGATTGACAGAAAAGATGCATCTTACCTTGTTTGGCCATTAATACAAGAAGGTAGACACCTCATTAGAGATTTTCTCCTTGAGTGAATTGCATACTAATGGGTTCTGTGGAGACATGCACCAGATTAAGAGCCAAAATATTCATTGACAGAGAACTCAAATTAAAAATGATATGTACAAAATAGAGTTATATTCCCTCATCAAATAAAATGTCCATCTAGTCAAAACAAGTTTCTGGTCAACTTGATTGCCTGCAAGAGAGATCCCCTGTTAATTCTCATATTTGAACTATTCATTTTTTAAATAGAAACACAAGTACAGGTGCTAATGGTCTGTTTAACATCTGGAGTTTGCAACAATTCCAACTTTTGAATGGTAATCTGGAAGTGGATTCTTCAATCTTCTCAAATTCTTCCCTGTAGAAGAATATAATTTACCATTAGATTTTCACAAAAACACATCTCATTAAGCAGTTTAAAGCAGCTATTCAAATAATAGGGAGTACGAAACACGCTACGGGTATTATTTAGACAACATAATGTTGACGATCCTAGCTCGGATTTTGGATCTAATGAATTGGACATCCGATACATACCATGTTCTGTAGTAATCTTATTGGTCTAATTTATACATTTGCTTAGTCAGCAGTAGCGTTGTGTCAAGGACTTCATAACTGTAACCTTATATAAGAAAGTTTTCCCAGTTTTCTAACACTTCTTGGCCTGCTATAACTCTTCACACTTCAAAGATAACTGAAGATTTATTGTGCTTCCTTAGGGTTCTGAGTACAACTACGAAAAACCGAGATACTGTGGACAAGTTATCACCTTCCTCCAGAGTGGCCAACATACGCCACTATACTGATGAGTCCTCCGGGCATTAGGATTTTCCTCGCAGCCTCTATTGCGAGTAATGTTGTTTCTGACTTGGTAATGATGTTTTTGTCTGCCCCTGGTAAGTAGCCCAAGTTGAATGCAACTAGCCTGAAACAATAAGAAAATGAAAAGAAATTGACAAATATGGTGTGGGGAGTGGGGTGGGGGGGGGGGGATGCCGTAATTCAAAATTCAAGGGGTCACCCTATATCAGTTGTACATCCAAAAAACATTAGGTCATTAGCAATAGCAAAAAACAATACCTTACTTTTACACCATCAGGAATCACATCTCCCATGTGACTATGACACAGGCAAAACAGCTCAACAAGTTCTTTCTGCATAGCAAACATTGATTGTGCATTTCAAGGAGGGGGTAGGAACTTTACTTAGTCAGTCTTCCTTTCAAGGTATAAATGCAATAAGATTTCCCATGCTGTCATGGTGAAGCGCTAGTAGATATATAACTGGTGGGTTTAATTAAACAGATCAACACCACAAGAAAGCATGTGGGAGGTAATTTGAGAGTTACTCTGTATTTTGCTGCATATAAATCCAAAGAGCCACATTAAGACATTTTCCCATTACTGTCATCGCAATCGTGGAAGTATGGAACTAACTAAGATGATCAAACCATCCTATGAGATAAAAGGAGATAGAATCAGAGAATGATAAAAAACTTTACATCTTCGGGGTTAACAGATTGATCTAGTAAAAGAGATGTATTCTGCAAAGCAACTTTCTGAACATCCATTCCATATACACGGCCTCTCCGTGTGTCATCGGCAACCATTTTCAATAATGCCAGAGTATCGTTACCATTTCCACAAGTGGCATCAATCACTGTGTCCCCTTTCTGAACAATATGCCTCCACAGACTGCCAAAACACAAATTGCTGATATTTTTGAAAAACAAAGCAAGCAGATGCATAATGCACTAAACTACTGGCTCTACACTTATTTAAGGAAAATATCACTTGACAATAGGCAAGCTTAGTAAAAAGAAAGCCAGAAACGGATATTCATTCAAAAGATGGCCAAAAGAGAGCAAAGAAGAAGAAGAAAATTAATGAAAACAACCTATGGGCAACCAGAGTGGCTCTGGATCGACCGCGTATATAGTCCATCATCACACCATCAACACCTGACAGAGAATTCGAGATTGAACTTCTTAAAATTCAAAAAACTACCCACAAGCCAGTGAATGTGAGCATGAAAGAAAAGAGGACATATGAACCTGGAAGAGAGTGCGAACTGGAAGAGGCGTTCACAGTGAACTGACGAGAGATTATAGTCTTAGATGATGCCCTTCCATTTGGATTTGGATTCCGACTTGGAATTGGACGCATATGATGAACCAGTCCGTTCGAATTTGGCCTGCCATTAGACATTGGAGGCACAGGGGAAGCTGATAACCGAGAATTAGGGTTGCGCAGAGAGAAGAAGAAGGCCATGAACCGAGACTGAGAGGAGAGTACCGATCTAGTACATGGATTTAGAGAGGAATGGCCGCTGCAGCGGCGGCGGCATTGGATTCCACATTTCCAGTTCGAGAGGAGTGCGTTGAGCAGGAGGGATCGGTTGCTCGTTTCAACGATCGCACCAAGCGCCGCCATCATCCATTGGCTGGCCTGAGCGAGATTGATAGAGTAGGGACTGGAACGGATTGCTGGCTGGAATTAAAAATGGTGTAAGAAATAAGAACTCCCTCCAAAAAAGGATGCAAACTGGTGGCGGGACTGTTTATTAGCCAGAAAGTAGCTAGAAACGGCAATTGAGCTTTAATCGATTGGAAAAGAGTGGAGTGAGAGGCTCTGCTTGATTTGATGGAGGAAATGGAAGAAGATTGTTGGGAGAGAAGGGCATGAGAGATGGAGAAAGGAAGGGAATGATTCTGTATTGGACCATGCTACATTTACACCAAATTTTGTACCCCATTTGTACACCACAATTATACACAAACATTTTGACGGTTTACACCGACACAAATGTTGGTGCGTTAATAAAAATTTACACGGACACAAAGTGTTGATGCGTTAACAAAAATTAGTTTTACACCAACACAAAATGTTGGTGCAAAACTGCGGGGTACAAATTGGGGTACAAAAAGTTGGGGTACAAGTAGCTTTATCCTTCTGTATTTAGTTCAAAACATAAAAGGGAGGAAATGGAGTTGGGGGTAGGGGTGGACACGGTACGGTTCCGGGACGGTTCCGGTTCCGCCACCCCATGTCACCGGAACCGTCACCGTGCCGGCCGGTACCGGTTCCAGTATCGGACCGGCCGAGTTCGGCCCCCCCTTTTTTTTGCTTTTTTTTTTTAAATTTTTAAAGTATAAAATTGTAAATTTGCAATTGTTTAAGGAAAAAATGAAATAAAAAATCTAAAAATGTAGTTGTTATTTAAATATTGAAAATGAGTAATACACTAACTGAAGAACAACCACATTTAATATTCTGACGGTTCAAAAAAAGCGACGAGGTAAAGAACCGTAAAGAAACCCTCGAAGGAGCTTATATATCGCTCACCTAAAAAAACTAATTACATATTTACATTAACATAAAAAAAATTTATAACTTATTCTTCAGAACTCGGACTTCCATCTGTGGTTGCATTCATGTAATGCTCCGATTCGAGTTGGTACGATGACTCTTGAGCCCGACGTCTTGCCAAGAGCCAATCTTGGTTGCAAACCAGTGTTTCAAGAGATTCAGCGTTAAGACAACTTCGGTAGTCGGTTAGAATGTTGCCGCCAGCACTGAATTCTCGTTCAACTGCTACGGTTGATAC